TTGCAGAATAAAAGATAATCTTCACAATATATTTCAAAAATAAAGACAGCACTGATAAATATAGCCTGGACTATGGTCTGAACATCACAGTATATTGCCATTTGTATGAAAAATCAGCTATATATCTCAACAAAAATAAAGACTATTTCTAGAAGGCTAAACAAAAAAACTACAATAATAAATACAACTAGAAAAATATCCTGGTAACAGTGCAACAAAAAAAGAAGAGAAATGTACTCCCTACATTTCTTACGTAAATATTGAATTTTCCACAATATATTACCTATTCAAACAAATACAATTAACTTAAAATCAAGAATTGTTAATAAGCACTTATAAAATCAGGGAAATGTACATTTCAAATAAAAGTATCACTCTAAGCAAAAAGAAATCAAGTAGCAAACCAATTTGATTTTTTAATAAGTTGTGTTTCTTACCAGAATTACCACTGGTCAGTTTCCCTTGTATCTTCCTTGAAGTCTTTTCTGATCTTTGTCCTTTGTGATCTACTTTTGTAACTTCTTGTCTTTCTTCCTTTTATCTTTTCACAATCTCACAAATCTTTCTTTATTATCTTACAATGAATTATACTTTGATAAAGTATCTTAAGTGGTTTTCCCCCCCAGTGCTCTTAATATGCTTAATCATGCTTTTAATTAATTTATATTAGGAAGAGAGAGAAAAAAGAATGATCAACATTTCACTTTAGTCAATAATTTAATACATGTTTAAGACAAATGTTGGTAGATCATGTTTACGTGTGTGTGTATGTGTGTGTACAGTCTTCTCAAAATATGTAAAAGTTGTTTTTTGTTTTTTAAGAACATAATCATAACTTTTTAAAATATGTCTTATTGGGCCCTCCCTAGTGGTATAATGGGTTAAAGTGCAGCAATACGAAGTTATCTACAGCCACTGCAGATAACTAGTTCTACCCTGGCTAGGGAGGTAACCCACATGGGGTGGCAGACTTTTCCTGACCAGCCTGCTGCTTCCCTCAGCAGTGCATTTCAGTGTATCTACCTGTTTTGCTCCCTGCTCTGGTAAACCCTCTCACCCCCCACATCTCTGGCCCATATACCCCAGTTCTTGTAAGCACAAATACAATAAATCTTTAAAAATAAATAAATAAATGTCTTTTTGCAAAGGTACTTTAAAAAATCACAATGTGGGGGCCCCTCCCTGGTGGTGCAACTGGTTAGGACGCAGCACTGCAAGCTGGTCACAGCTTCTTCAGCTTCAGTACTGAATTAGTTCGAGCTTGATCCCTGGCCCCAGAGGTGATCCACCTGGCGCAGCAGACCTCTCCTGTCTCACCAGCTGCTCTCCTCAGCAGTGTACTTCATCAATCTGCCTGTTCTACTCCCCACTTTGTCTCTGGTAAATCCTCTTACCACTGGCCTTTACCCCAGTTCTGAATGCATAAATAAATAAATCTTTTTTTAAAAAGAAAAATCACAATGTGATTTGAAAAGAATCTGCTGTGTAAGCTCTGTAGCCTGTTTAAATTCAGTTTCCACTACTTCCTACTTGTGTTATTTTAAGTAAATTACTTAACCTCCTTCTATCTCAGTTTCCTAATGTGTAAACTGTATTTATAGTAGGAACAAACACTGGAACATTTAAAGAATAGACTAAATGGTGATACACATCTTAAACAATATCTGACTCAAAGTAAGAGCTTAGTAGATGTTAATAATTATATTATATAACAATTATTACCATTAAATGTGAAAAATATGGATTGGTTGGGAATGGATTTGGCTATAAAGTGTGCCATGACATACTATTTTTTAAATGATGTTCAGCTAAAAGTCTTATATTATTAAATCACGTATACAGAGTTCATTACATACCATATTATTTAAAAATTAAGAATTTTTATTTCTGCTAAGATCATGCACACATAACAGCAAAATGACTTATTTTCAATTATTTTTCAAAAGACTATGTTCTTAAAATCTGGTGCTTCTTATTTCCTATCTTTTTCCCAATTCAGGTTAAAAACAATTCCAATGAATATGAAAGCAATAATCACTATCCTAGCCACTGGATCTCCAGTTATTTAATGCCAAGAGAAATGCCATAACACTTTCTATCATGTATCACCATAAAATAATTTTTCCAGAATAGTATAACAGTTTGCAGGCACATTGCTCCCATCTTCCCCTTGTATTATGCCTTTTAAAAGTTTGAAGATGAGACTTGCAAAAGAGCTCAGACAGCAATGTAGGAGAAATATAAAATACATTCTTATGATCAAGAGTTAAGTATATTAGGAGTTGAAGAAATTACATTTTTTTTCCTTATGTATCTTTGTGGAACCTCAGTAAAATGCAGTGCCCCTTAGTCATCTAATGGATCACAATCTATGAGCGTAAGGTACAAAAATGAGCACTTTAACACATTTTTTTTTTTTGCCTGTCATCTTAAGAACAATTGAGGAATAATGAAACAGAAAGGGTTAATTTAAAAGGTCGTGTGTAGGAGGTGAATCTTGAGCAGATTTCAAGTAGGCAACATTAAGTGGCAGGGAGGAGTGAGGTAGTTATTCCAAACCAAAGGGATGGTATGTGAGATAACTAACTCAGTTTCGGGAGACATTTCAGCATCCTAAGCATTTAGATGTAACCACACCTCTCCTGAATAGGCAATTGGGGGCATAGAAGATGAACAGAACTGTCTACCAAAACTGCTAGCAATTAGAAAAACACCGGGCTTTCCTTGTTTAATTTTTAGCATAGCTCCCAACATTTTTTGTTTACTTACCCACTTTAGAAACATAAGCCTCTAAAGTACCACAATACTGACAGGGAAGAGGAACCAAAACCTTAAGCAAAGGAAGGTACTTTTGTTTTAAAGTCATACAAGGATTTTGTCTTCATTTTTTTAATGTACTTATCTGTTTTTTATGGAAGTAACACTGGTTTATGACACTCTATGTGATCTAGGGGAATAGGTTCAAACCTCCTCAGAGATAACAAGGAGTTTTTTTAAAAGTTAAAAGGTAAACAAGTCATTTTGGTTTTTACTGGAATTACATTTATAAACTTAGAACTTTCATGTAAGGGAGTCTTTCTTTCAAAACAGCTGACCAAAAGATAAACAATTACCCAAATTTAAATGTTCATTTAAATTTAAAGTGAAAAAATGTAAAATTAGAAATTTTAAGTAATACACAATTTTAATTGTAATCAAATTGGTCAGTTTCACATGGGTAAAAAAACACTTTGAGACTGGGTGATTTCTAAAATCCTATCAAGCTCATTTCTAAAATAGCAATGACATACAACTTCCTCAATATGAATTAACTATACTAGGTTGTTTAGAATTTATAATGTAAGCTTATTTCAAAATATTAGAATATTGACATATACTATATATACAGGGATCAACTGCATCCTGTAAAAAAATTAACAATACAGTTTTCAGAATTCCTTCTAGCATGTGTTCTGTATAAGCAATTAAAAAAAAAACTTTCTCTCACTTTGACTGCTAGCATTAACAGTATGCAAACTAGCCACTGGAGGAGTTATAAAAGGCTCTAAGTTACAGATACCCAAAAATCTCATGAAAATAAGAGATACATCATCTTTAACTAGCCAGTATATATATCAAATATTAACTTATTGATAATCTTAAATTCTGACATATTTAAATTAAATAAAATTTGAGATAGCTACCTATCAGGCAAAATAAGCAACTTCATAATCTGAGTATCATTGTATTATCTATCACCCTTGGTTAAATAAGAAAAACAATGTCCATGGTACTCTTCCCTCATATTTCTGTCATTCTTAGTGTACACATTACATATTTTCCACCTTACTTTAAGAGAGATGCACTGCACAAAGTGTCAGTGGATAAGATTTTATCTAAACTGAAATAAAATCTGAGATAAGTAAGTTTATCATTATGGAGTTTTACAAGAATGTGTATTTCTCAATGTAAAAAGATTCTGTGCTATAATGGCAAAAAAATCAAGGAAGGCTGATTCCTTATATTCTCCATAATTATTAACTTAATCCCTGCTTCAGGGACAGGTCTGCAGGAAGAACAAATCTTAAAATTTAAAAGGCAGATAAAATGAGACAGCAGTCCAAGAACATTTTGCATAATTAAGAAAGAGAATTGGATTTTAAATCTAAGTAACATTTATAACCCATGAAAAGCTAAAAAATGAGGGGCCAAAAGAAGTAGGCAAACTACAAACATGTGTCATTAAATATGTATCCCTGATGACTGTCAGGTTGACCCTGTTGTCACACTTACCCTCTTTACACACACTCAGTAGCCTCATCAAGGACCCTATCAGAATAACTTTAAAACTATGCATTTTAAAAACAAATGCAACAATACTGATACTACAGATCAGCGATCCAGGAGATAATTAAACCTTGTGTCTATCTGTGAGTTAACAACCACACCCCTTCAAAAGAGAACTCACTAGCACTGTGCTCCCTTAACGTGCATAAAGAGAGGCTTTTGTTTAAAATTCATTACTTCATAGCCTGGGACGACCATGTTTGTTTTGTAATAATTATGGTTTCATAAACATGGTCTCAGAGTCAAGCTAAGGACTTGACCTATGCCTGAACAGAATCAGTTTGGGGAAAGACACCACATAGTGAAACTGGGTCCTAGCCACCTAACAATTAATTTAAAGGAAATTATAATTAATCACAATTGCATGCTATGCATCGCAAGAATCAAAACCATTTAAAAATTTAAGCAATGCTTAATCATAATGCATTAAGCCCACGAGCAGAGGTTCCTTTGGGGTCAAAGAAAGACAACTATTAAAAGACAGTTTGACGGCTGTCGGTAATTTTTTTTTAACCTAGAAAGGGCCTGGGTGCTGGTACAGTGAAAGCCTCAGGAGAGGTCTGGGGAGGGCAGAGGCCACATTCATGTAGAAACTGTGGCAAGCAGGGGGCTCCAAGTTCTTTAACTTCCCCGGGCTGAGCGGGAAGAGGAGAGGGAGAGGGAGGCTTCCTTACCTCCCAGCGACCATAGGTGAGGAGGACCATGGCGATGGGGATGGCGGTGCCAGACATGGCATGGGTGGAGGGCAGGCTGTACTCGGAGTTGTAGAAGACCTCCAGCTTGACCACCGGCGGCGCGGCGGGCCGGGGCCGGCGGATGATGTCCTTGGTGCACTGGCCCAGGTACATAACCAGCACCCAGATGACCACGAGCCTCCGGCCCACCAGGGGATCCAGGTTCCAGATCCAGAAAGGGAAGAACAGGATGTAAAAGAGTTCATTGCCCAGCTCCGTGCCAAAGCAGAACAGGTAGTAGAGCGGCCAGTTGCTCACGACGGCCAGCTCCCCCTCCTCGCCCGTCAGCGAGTTGCGGCGCAGGGCACCGGCGCGCCGCGGCGAGGTCGGGCCCAACTCGGCAGCCAGCCCGTTCCGGACGCCGTTGGGGGCGCCGCCGCTACCCGGCTTGGCCGGGCACTGATTGCGGTCGCTGCCGGGCGGCTGGGGGCCTCCCGACGCCCCCGGTGGCCGCGCCCGGCACCGGGCTTCTCCGGCGAGGAGCGCCCCCGCTCTCTCATCTTCCCTCGGGTCGGCGGCAGCCGCCGTGGAGCCGCTCCGCGGCGCTTCCACCCCGCACAGCCGCTGGAAACGGGCCACTTTCTGCGGCTCCTGCAGACAGACAGACAGCTGGGTCAGGCGCTCCCTCAGCGACATGATAACGGGACCCGCGCAGCCCTCGGACGGAAGGACGGCGACTGGGGGGCCGTCCCCACGCGCCCCGCCAGCGGCAGCGGCAGCAACAGCAGCAGCAGCAATGCCGCGCTCGACCCTCTCGGCTCTGCCTAGCGACGGCGCCACAGGC